GTCTCAAGAGGTAGATAGAAGCACCGATAGATAATACACTAATGCAGTATACTGCCTACAGTGCATACTATCAAACTGTGCGGTAGGACCGCTTCGTTTACCTTACCTAACGCTTTTTGGAATGCATACAAATCATTTTCACTTTAAAAGGAACGTTTCACAAATCAGACTGTACGTTTTGCAAATCAAGCTAAAGGTTGTGCAAAGCAAACTGGACATTGTCATTTTTAAGCAGAAAAGTAGCAATTTATTGGCAAGTTTTGATGCATGATATGCATGATATGCACCCACATGGCGGGCGGTTTACTGTGATCCAAATTGTGAGAGATGCGGACTCCAGTGCAAACCCTTCTTTCCATAATGAGCTTCGTTCCACTCCATCAAAGGCGGTGACTTGATTTCCCCTATCTACCTTTCGGACTTGGCGTATTTCGTGTATATGTGTGTGAGCCTGTCCGGTTGCGCGACTAAGAGCACAGTATGTTGGCTATTATAACTGCACCATACCTCACCTAGGTCCATTAGTCTACTGCTGCACGAACCGACCGAAATGGGCTACGTATGATAAGATGGCAAATTACTGAGGTAGTGAAGGTTCAAATGAAAGTTACTGAGGCAATAAGACATCCTTATCAAACTAGTGTTTGGCAAATTAAAAACCACTCACTAATCTACTGATGCTACTAGTCAAAAAGAGCACGGCAAGAAACATCGTCAATGCCTATAGGTCGATAGGTGTCATTAGTCAGCGCAGGTGGGCAGGGAACAAAGATAAACTTTCATCGGATGTCTTAGAGTTCATTGATGAGTACACTGAACAACATTCGAAGGACAGCTTGTTGCAGACACAACAGTAAGTGAACGAGATCTAACTTACTGTATCTAAGGTCCGCAAGTTCTCAGGAAGCTAAAGAGCACGCTTAAGAATTGTCACTAAGAGGTACATTGCGTCTGCAGTGCCGACATGATCGCAAGTAATACGTTCTTGACTGTTCGGTATGCGCAGGACAAAGAGAAATACATCTTAAAACAGGAAAGCTGATGCAACCTCTATCTGCGGCGGGCGCAGGATCGCTGGCGAAGAGGGACTTGCGCGAACTTTCTCTTGCCCAAGTCAGAACTCGCGCTGTGACAATGACTGTGTCAATGAATAACCAAGGCATAAGACACTCACAGATCATCAACAATGGCACTTTTAATGTCGCGGGATCCTCGATGTCCCTCGGAGTACTTGTATAACCTGCAGAGTGGAACGGAACGGTACATGGCTGCTAATGCCCAAGGCCGGAATCCAAATTCTGGGAGACCTAAGGAGGATGCTAGGATTGCCTTATCTGACGCCCTAATCCTACATGCTAATGCTAACAGTTTGTTTTAAAAAAGCCACTTTATAATGGAAATGACACTTTAACAAGAAAATATCTTTCTCGTTATGGACAGTCAGTTGATAAGGAGCAGTCCCGTTTCTGTCTTTGTCAAGATCAACATCTTTCTAAGGACGCATTTCGGTCAGACTCGCGGTCGGTGTTCTACGTCAATGACATTCGCTTGAACCGTCGCTACTTCGGTGATGCATCTTCTCATCGTGCGGGGCCCGTTTCGCTTGGTTCGTGCAGCAGCAGGCTAACATGGTGTTAGAACAATACGTATCCAGATGCACAAAACTTTTAACTTTTTACAACGAAACTAGCATTACATGTTCGCAAATTAGTCTCCACCAACGTTCATGCACAGTTCCATGAGTTCAAACCATTTGGAGAAACAGCTAGACCATGCCGAAGCGGGTAACCCTTCAAACAGCTCAATAAAGGCCTATACTGCAACTTAAGGACACTCATAGCGGATTCCACGCATCATGTGCATGACATATGGGAACACGTAATAGCCACAAGCTGCCTCGTATGAACTGCAGGGTGGGTGGCCAATCTCCTAGAGGTGTTTTCTAGTCTGAAAATCTAGGACGACATGGGACGTTTGTGCAAGTGCGCTGTCATGGTGAAGCAAGGCCCCTCGTGCCCGAATCCTAGGAGGCCGCTTGGCTGCAGCTTCCAGCACGTATGGCAGACAGTGGGTGGCATACCATTTTCCAGGGAGCACGCGTTGCAGTACGAGCGGTGTAGTAGCCACATGACTAGTCTTGGCCAAGAACACAGCCACAATCTTCTTGGCCACACTTCGCTCACGCCGAAATGTCTGAGGCGGTGCTCCACCAACGGCCGTCTACTGAGCCGATTGTTGCTTGGTCTGTGGGTCGAAACTGTGTATCCAGGTCTCCTCATCACTGAGGGTCCCTCAAGCCGCATTGGAACATCCACCATCAACCCTGGCAAGCACGGTGCGGCACTAATTCACAACAGCTTCTTTCTGGCCCTCACTGTGCAGATGGGGTACCCAAAGTGCGCAAACCTTTCTGAGGACAATTTCTCACCTAGGACGCTGCGGAATGATCCGATAAGATACTGATGACTTCCCCTTTTTGTGATACAGTCAGCCACTCGTCTTGCGCCATCACTGTTTACATAGCAACAAAGTTGTCCGCGGTGGTGGCCTCAACAGCTCGATCACATCATGCCTCATCATCTAGGGACTACCTGCCACGCTCGAATTTCACAAATCAACTAAACACTGTGATTCTTGAAGGCGCATTATTAGCAAAAGCAGGACGTAATCGATCAACACTTTGGTGCTGATTTAAACCACATTCGAGGGGACAGACATTTCTTGCCCTCCAGAGACGTCGTCTGAGCCCCATAAGTGCAGTCAGAGTAAAGTGACACTTATGACTTGTGAGCTGTGCTGGACTGCTAATTTAGGCTTTGGGGAGTTGAAATTACTGAATGATGTTCAGAATGTAGTACAGTTCACATTTATCTTGCCAGGTCATCTGCGTTGCTTAACCGGAATCTTACTAGTCTAACCACACTGTTCTCTTAGTTGCGCTAACGGACAGTCTCACACACACATACACGAAATACGCTGTCAGATAAGGTAGACAGGGGAAAATTAGGTCACCGCCTTTGATGGAGAGGAACGAAGCTCATTATGGAAAGAAGGGTTTGCACTGGAGTCCGCAGCTTTCACAAGTTGGGTCACAGTAGACCGACCACCACGTGGCCTGCATATCACGCATCAAAATTTGCCAATAAATTGCTACTATTCTGCTTAACAATGACCTCTACTTTCGTTTGCATAACTTTAGCTTGGTTTGCAGAAGGTTTATTTTGATTTTCCTAACTTATGATTTAAAGAGAATATCTTAGATTGCGTCGATGGATTTCCCTTGGTTTACTAGCTGCCGGCGTTCTTGTCTCTTCCCAATCCGATTGGTGACTCAAGTGCGGTCTAGCGCGAAACTCTGTTTGTTGGCCAAAACAGATCTTTGACTGTATTAGATGCAGCAGAAACTGCTGCAATATCTTTTCGGCTACCTTGCCAAATTGTGTGCCAAACAAATCTTTGACACTTGCCTACCTCCTAGCCACTAGTTTCCGGAATCAGTTTAACCACTCAGCAACTCCAGCCTCTGGACGACGAAATTCCTGTCATTGACCCGTTGACCATTTCACTCATGGGAGACTAACGGATGCGGCTAAGTGCCTATGAAAAGTAAACGATGAACTCATACGGGTTAAAGAGCTCAAGAGTAACAAGAACGTGACGCATCTGTTTTACAACGTAATCCATGCGATGGAGTTCCTTAGGGGAAACATACTTTAAGCTGGTACAGATATCTGGTTAATCGTAAATAGTCAAAGGAACAGCGCCGTCAGTCTGGATTCACGTTCGGTGCTGGAGTATTTCGCTACCTTTCCGAACTATTTGATGGATTGCAGGATAGGACCAACGAACGTTCATTTGCAGATTTACGAGCATGGCAGTAAAACTTGCTCTGTTCGAACCAAGTCGCAAAATGCCTGAAGGCTGTATGTTTACCAAAAATAAGGTAATGCTAGATTGGAGGACCATCGTGAAGCACACGATGTATGAGTGGGTTGCGAAGCGCAATCTCACTGTAGATGGCGATTAACACTGAAGTGAACCTTGGTCAACGCGATTACTGGGATTGTAGCAGAAACAGATGGAAACTGGGTGCCGCGCTGCACAACCACGAGACATTTTCATCTGATTCGTTCTCATCAAGTCTAGCTATCAGGCCTCGAACCCGCGGCCATTGGAATAGTAGGCAAAACATCTACCCCTCTGCCTACCAGGTCACGACGGGCAACGCTTGGCACAACGGTTAATGCATGATTGGAGGATCATTTAACGTACAGGTTGTGTGACTAGATTGCGAGGCGCAATCCCAGGTAGTCAAATGGATAGATGTTTCAGCTCCTATTCCAGTGATAGCGATTTAGGGACCTGCTAGTAACACCTGACGAGATAAACCAGACCTAAACGAGTCGTCCGTGTGTAGTGTTTTTGAGCGGACAACACCCAGTGTTCATCCGCTTCGGCTACGGTCCCAGTGATAGCATTAATTAAGGTCCACTTCAATGTGACTCACGGTCTACATTGTGATTACATGTCGCAATCTAAGCACACAACGTTTACATTAAAATTGCCCTAAAATTAGTCATTAATCGTTGTGCCAAGCGTTGCCGGTTGTAAGGCAATTTCAGTCAACTAGTATTTGTGTACAACCATTTGCTCTAATTTTTGGTGCGCGGTTGAGGAACCTAGTGAGCAATCCAATAACAGCGAACGCTCACATCTAATAGACCCACGCAGCCATTGTGCATTTGTAACCGACTGAATATTTGGCTTAGAACCGGTATTTGACATGTCACAGAATGGTTTACCAACACATTTGTTTCACTTCATTTTAAAACGTTTATGATCCATAATCCCCGCGCAACGCAGATTTTACTGCTTAAGAGCTCCATATTGTCAGCATAACTAGAAAATTAAAATCCATGCAGGTGATGCTTACGGTACTCTTTTTGAAATTTGTGCAATAATATTGTAATGATGGATAATTACTTTGCTTTTATCTTCAGAGTCAACAAGTTGAAGAGACCAGGAATGAAAAGGTAAGTAGAGATAGACTAATTATGTTAATGTCAATAATAAATTGCATGGGGATAAGTACACCTTATTTGCTAAAATGCTGTACATATATTATGATGATTTATTACTTTCAGCACAAGACGTATCAGTTAATAGAGAGCAAAATTAACAGGTTTGTTGCAGTTGGATTCGGTCAATAATTTAGTAGTTTGAAATGGGATTAAAAGCAGTAGGTTCGCAGAATCTGCAAGACGGCAAATACCAAAGATACCAAAATATGCCGGCATAAATTGTGAAATCTCCGTAGTCCAAATATACATATTTGTCCTACTATCGCGTTGAGTTTAAAACATAGAAAAAGTCCGATAGCATTTAAAAGGCCACGGTGCTTGGTGCATTTGCGACATGTGCTGGCAAAGCATTCCAGCGTGAACGAATGCTAAGAGTATAAATGAAATTTCTACAACACAAGCCTGAGTGTTGGACTACTAGTTTCAGTTTGTGGCCTCAACATCGTTCGAAAATAGGTCCAGCAATAATTCGTCATGTGAAAATAAGGTATCCGACGTGTTGTCGACATTATACTAAGGCTGCGACTAAGATTGTATTTAAGAGCAAGTAGCAAGGTTTCTGTACAACTCTATCGAATTATGAAAAATCAAAACATTTAGTTGTGAATCATCAGCGGTTGTGTCTGGTCCTTTAATCTTTAATCCTTGTTCTATTAGGAATTTGTATTGGTGTCATTATTGCCGGGCGTACGATGTTCTCTTTTGTGATTGTATGTACATCGTTTCACAAAAGCATGGGTTTCCGAAATAATCTTCGATACAGGTTTTAAACCACTGCACAGAAGCGGCCTCTATTAATCCTTCTGGTAGTGTATTCCAAAAGTTCACGGTTCTCCGTTCTATACAAAGTTGATATGATACTTTGTTCGTGCTAAGGACCCTGAGTTGGTAACGGTGTCCTCAGATGTTACAGGGTTTCCGCTGGTGAAAGATTGGCCGCAGTATTGGCAAGTGATTCAAGTGTATACTCGATGGGTCATAATAAAGTCAATTCTTACTCGGCGGTAGGATAGTAAGTAGAGTCCGATCCTTTCACAATGTTTTTTATTCGGAAATTTTCGGAGACTCGGTGTCATTCTAGTTGCGATATGCTGTACTTTCTCTAGCTTCTCAGTTTCCCACTGGGTTATCGAATGGTAAGCTGGGGCACGGTATTCGAGCATTGGTCTAATGAGCGAGGTGATTAGACGAAGGAAGGTTTCTTCAAACCATGGGGAGAAACCGCGCCTTAATGCCCAGGGTATAGGAAGTTAAGCAGGGTACAATTTCTCTGTGTTTTGATGAAAATTATAGTGTTGCTCTTCCCAACACCGGCACCCCAAGACCGCGGTTTCGTCCTGTTGGGACTCATCAGTTGGAGATAGCCTGAGTTGGGCTGGAACTCAGAGCCTAGTGGCTCATGGTTGACGCCATAAGCACTATGACACTGAGATCCACGAGCAACGCTTGGTCCAGCAGAAAAGATTGCAAAGTTGAATTTGGAGAATCCGCTGGTGGCTGGGTTGCTACAAGCAACCTCAATTGAGACCTCGGTTCACTTGATGTGGACCTCGGCCATTCCGATCAAAAAGACCGTAAGTAAAATGAAAATTATAGTGTTGCTCATCCCAACACCGTGTGTGTGTTTTCTAGTAATCTCATTTCATGTCGCGAGAGAACTCCCAAATCTCTGACAGATGTGTTAGGGTGGAGCAACTGACCGTCCAAGTTGTATGATCGAGTGGCTGAACGTCTGGTGATATTGATTAACTCCGACTTGCCTGCGTTAAGAGGGAGTTGCATTTCAGTGGACCATGTTGACAGTCGCTCTAAGCCATGCTGGTGGCGAGCGCAGTCGTCCTAGTTCTCAATGATCCTCCAGATATTCAAATTATCTGCAAACATGGCGTATAGTGACTGGAGCTGCTGCGGAAGATCGTTGATATGAGTTAGAAAAAATGCTGGCCCAAGTACAGTTCTTTGAGGCACGCCACTGGTCGATGCGAACCAATCTATCAGGTAGTCATTGACCTGTACTCTAAACCTTCGTCCCACAATAAACTCGTGTAACCACTGAAGTAACGTGCCACTGATTCCGTATGTCCTCAGTTTACGAAGGAGTACCTCGTGGTTCACTCTGTCAAACGTCTTACTAAAGTCGATGTAGACCACATCACCATCCTTCTGTTCATTGAGAGCTCGAACCCACTGGTGGTTTGCGTACATCAAGTTGGCGATGCAGGATCGCCCTTTCATAAAGCCGTGTTGCACTGGCGTCAATACGTCCGTGGATTCAACGAACGACAGCAGACACTTTGTCACAACCATCTCGAGAACTTTGGTTAATACCGAAGTCAAACAGATCGGTCTATAGTTCTCTATTTTACTCGGATCACCACCCTTGGGATGCGGTCTCACTATCGAACATTTCCAGTCGTTAGGGACAGATCCTTCAGATAGTGATTTATTAAATAGGTTAGTCACAACAGGTGAGATAATAATCGATAAGGACTTGAGTATTAGTGGGTGAAGTCAGTCTGGCCCGGAGGGCTTTGCACCATCGAGGTTGACGAGTAGCTGATACACTTCGACTGCATCACATTGTAGGCTGTCGAGCAAGACTGGCGCAACCTGTGCCACTATTGCAACAGCCGCCGGTTTACTGCAAAATACGGTGAGGAAGTGCGTAGCCAAGACATCCGTGCTCTTCGCGCTTGAAATCAGCGTCTGTTCGTAGTAGCTCTCTAAGACCGGTAGGTCGCCCCCAGGTTTCAGTTGACGTTTCAATTAGGCAAATATGCTTTTGGGTGTAATTGTGGCCGAGGATCCTAGCTCCTCTTCGAACTGCCGGTGTTTCTTGCTCTTTGCGGCGTTACATAAGTTACGCTGTTTCTTGCACATCGTGTACTCTTCATCAGAACCCGAGCTGATATATCTATCCCAAAGTTTGCAACGCCGTCGCTCTAACTGTCTATATTCCGTATCAAACCAATGCTGTTTGACAGGATATTCCGTATCAAAACAATGCGGTTTGACAGAATTGATAGAGGATTGATAGACGAAACGGAGTCTCATTTCCTAACTCAGACCAGATAATATACGTCTTAATTGGCACCTCTTCCTTTGGGCCGCTCCAAGGGGCGGCTGCCATGTCTTGACCATGAACACCAGGTTTGTATTTAATTATTAGTATGGCTACGAATATAGGAGTTGAAAGAATAGGGTGTCAGGAACTAACTGTGGAAGAGGATGGTTCAGCTTTGCTACATTTCTGCTTCCGGACGGAATTTCTTGGACGTGCTTGACGGCATCCGGTTTCGGATTTGCCTGTCACTGTGGCCAGCCACAGGACGCCTGCGCCTACAGAGGGACTATGAGTGGTTTGCGCTGCACCACCCACAGTTCCATCCACACATCCCATATCTGGTGTAAACCCGAATGAATAAGCCCGGGAGGCATATGGATAGGAGCCACGCTTCATCAGCGCAGCTGGCGCAAACTCCTTCAAAGGCACACACAAGCACGCTGTATTTGGGATTCAACCACACACTAGGCGGTGGCTGGACCGTAGTCCGCACCACAGACAAACCGGGTGTATGGAACCACTCTTCGAGCCTAGTACGACCACAAAGACCGTGCAGTCCGTCCCCTCCATCAACGACCAGCTGTCTCCTGGAGTCAGAAGAGACGAGCTACTAGGTAATAGAAAGGTAGACACCTGGTCAACGTGCACATCAGGCGCAGTCACACCCGGGTTGTCAAGCAACAGCCAATCACGTGAAATGAGATATCGAATAAACTAGATAGAATACAGCGCACGGAAATGCCATTACATTAGCACATGAATAAATGGCTTAGCAAAATATCCGTGAAAGATCCATGATGGCAGAAATGGGGATCAAGACACATATGCAAGGAGATAACAAGTAACCAAAGTTAACCACCTTTTGTTAAAGCGAATTGTGATTTAATAGATTATTCAGGTACACATTAAAATCTGGTAAGGAAATAACACCAAGACAAGTTAGCAATCCAACCACCTGAAATAAAGAAACTCAGCACACAAGCACTCAGTTAGTAAATAGTAATGCAGCGTACCTACCAACCCTGCGCCGGTTCTGCCTACCTTCTCAGCAGGACTCGTCGTCCTTTCGATGCTGGACACAAATGGCCTTGCTAGGGGCTAACTAAACCTGCTTGACGCAAGCGTTCGAGACCGCACGTGCAACAGAATCATGCGCTCGACGTCCATGGAGTAAATCCCATCGGCACCTGTCGCTTCCGTACTTGCCACTTCTTCTTTGCATGCACGAGGGCCTACTCTTGCACCTCGAGAACTACCTTCCTGATTAAATCGTGCCATGCACGCCGATCAACCGCCTACGATTCCCGTGACCTGCAATCAACATTAGAACGTGATAGGCTCAGTTCGCATGTCTTGGTCTCATAACTACTGTTTTCCCACCTGCCATTTCCCTGCAAAAACCTTCAGTGCTAACCACAAACTGCTGTACAAGCACGTTAATAGCCTACGAAAGGTGAGGCAAGGATTTCCTCCACTCAATACGGCTGATGGCCCAACAAGAACGTCGATGCAAGCTGCAAACGCGCTGCAGATGCCATACGCCCCCACGTTTCAAAGGGTCTTGCCACCAAGCGATCTACCAAGCTTTGTATTCTGCTCACCGGGACTAACCCACATCAAGTTTACCGCAGAAGCTGTATTGCAAAAGCTGACTTCTCTACGCAAACACAGCTCGCCGGGTGTCGACGCCATTCGTCCTGAGGCATTGGGAGCAGCAGAAAACCAACTGGCAGGACATTTAGCTCAGCTTTTTCAGCACTGCTTAGACCAGAACCAAGTTCCCGCCATGTGGAAGCTTGGAATAATAAGCCCGATTCACAAAGGTGGAAGCAGATCTGATCCTTCCAACTACCGCCCAGTAACCCTTCTTCCTATACTCTCCAAGGTC